TCCTTACATTGAGCCAGATTTGGTTCTGATTGGTCAGTTTCTATGCCAGTCAGCATGTCTGGTCCTATCAACGAGGCCTCATCAGAAAGATGGGGCTGATCAGCAGTCCTGGTGGAGGCCTGGAGAGAAATGGGGGCGCCATTGGCCAGGCCAGGAGAGAAAGAGAGGCAAGTTCTGATCAGCTGCCACAGAGGCTATGGATCAGACCCTGCCCCTCTCCAGGCCTGATCTGCAGCCTCCTAGGCAGTAAGTGCTGTGTCGAGGCACCAGCAGTGGCACCAACCAGTGGTCTGGTTGAGCCTTTGGTCATAAAGGTTGTGACAACCCTGGCTCTTTAATATATATATGGGGGGTGGGGGGGCGGGAGCGGGGAAAGAAACCTTTCAGTTTTATACTTTCTTGCTGACCAAATTCCATATCCTCATTCCCCTTCTAATCTTCTCATTTCCTAGTCCTCTACAGGGTATCAGCTTGCTTCTGCTCCTTCCAACAGCCTTATTCCATGCTCCCGCTTTCCCTTCTGCTATTTCTTCTAAAGGAAGGACTCTCCTCTTTATGCCTTATATCATTTCTTCTGTTATTGTAGTACTCTTTGATTATTTTACTGCTTGTCCTTTCATCACAGACTAGGTTAGGTAGTGACCGTATTTCATATCATCTTTAAACTCCATGTAGTGCCTAACACCATGCTTTGTGTGCACCAGGAATTCACAAACATTTCTGAGTTCGATTATTGCATTACATTTTCCCTCTTTCCCTTCCTTTCTTCCTTCCTTCCTTCCTTCCTTCCTTCCTTCCTTCCTTCCTTCCTTCCTTCCTTCCTTCCTTCCTGTGTGTATGGCAAAGTATATACCATAAAATTAACTATTTTAATCATTTTTAATGTACAGTTGTGAAAAGAAGTTCATTTACATTGCTGTACAACAGGCACACTGTCCATCTCCAGGATGCTTTCGTTTTCTCCGACTGAAACTCTGCACATTAAGCACTGACTCCTCATTCCCTCCACCCCTGGAAACCACCACTGTACTCTCTGTTTCTATGCATTTTACTGTTTTACGAACCTCTTGAGGTGCAAGGTTTATCTGTGTTGTTGCATGATTGTGAATAATGCTGCTATAAACATGAGTGTACAAATATGTATTCTAGTTCCTGCTTTCACTTTTTTGGGTATATACCCAGAAGTAGGATTGCTGGATCATATGGTAATTCTGTGTTTAATTTTCTAAAGAATTACCATACTGTTTTTCATAGCAGCTGCACCATTTTACATCTTCACCAGCAACGTGTGAGGATTCCAATTGTCCTACATCTTTCCACCACTTGCTTTTTTTTTTTTTTTTTAAATTGTTTTTTAACAATAACCATGCTAATGGATGTGAGTGGTATCTCATAGTTTTTTTTTGTGTCTTATTTATTTATGTTCTTTTTACTTTTTTATTTTTCTTTATTGATTAAGGTATTACATATGTGTCCTTGTCCCCCCTTTGTCCTCCCAGCCCTCTTCACCCCCAGCTCCTGCCCTCACTCATTTAGTGTCTTGTCCATTGGTTATGCTTGCGTACAAGTCCTTTAGTCGATCTCTTCCCTTTCCCCCCACCCTCCCCTGCCTTCCCTCCGAGGTTTGACGGTCTAATCGATGATTCTCTGTCTCTGGGTCTGTTTTTGTTCATCAGTTTATGTTGTTCATTATATTCCACAAATGAGTGAAATCATGAGATATTTATCTTTCTCTGACTGGCTTATTTCACTTAGCATAATGCTCTCCAGGTCATAGCATTTCCCTAATGATTAAATGCTGAATGTCTTTTCATGTGTTTATTGGCCACCTGTATATCTTTGGAGAAATATCTGAATTCCATGCTCATTTTTTAATTGAATTGTTTATTTTTGTTGTTGTTGTTGAACTTTAAGAGTTCTCTATATATGCTGAGTATTAACCCATTTGCAAATATTTCCTTCCACTGTGAATTACCTTTTTTCTCTGCTCATAGTGCTTTGATGCACAAATGTTTTAAATTTTTAAAAAATTGTTGATGTTCCCCATTATACCCACCTCTACCCAGCCCCTGCCTCTCCGCCCTCTGGCCTTCACCACACTGTTGTCTGAGTCCATGGGCTGTGTATGTATGTTCTTTGGCTAATCTCTATCCTGTCTCACACAGCTCCCTCCCCTCTGGAATCTATCAGTCTATTTCATGTATCCATGCCTCTGGCCCTATTTTGTTTACTAGTTTATTTTGTTCATTAGACTCCATACATAAGTGAGATCATGTGATGTTTGTCTTTCTCTGACTGGCTTATCTCCAGGTCCATCTATGCTGTTGCAAAAGGGTAAGAATTCCTTCTTTCCAGTGGTGTAATATTCTGTTGTGTAAATGTACCGCAACTTCTTTATCCACTCATCTACCAATGGGTATGGGCTGTTGCCAGATCTTAGCTATTGTAAATAATGCTGCTATGAACATAGGGGTGCATATACTAGTTTTCTTTTTGATTGTTATTTCAGGAGTCTTAAAATATTCAATATATTTCCAGAAGTGGGATTACTGGGTTTGACGCAGTCCAATTTATCTATTTTTTGTTGTTGCCTGGAATTTTGGTGTCATATCCAAGATATCATTGTGAAATTCAATGTCATGATACTTTCCCCCTACATTTTCTGCTAAGAGTTTTATAGTTTTAGTTCTTATGGTTAGACCATTGACATATGTTGAATTTTTTATATGGATGGTATAATGTAATTGTCTAAATTCATTTTTATTGTAGTCTTTCTAGCACCATTTATCGAAAAGACTGTGTTTTCTCTACTGAATAGCTTTTTTTCAAATTCATATTTGGTTGAATAATCTTCAACTTTATTGACTGACACAGGTGTGATTGTAGCAAGCTTTAGGATGTTCCTTCTCACTGAATACTTGCTTGTGCTTTCTTACCCACTTGGGAATAAGACAAGGACCTGGAAAACCTATAAGTTGAAAACAGAATAAGCATTTATCATCTCTTTATCCTCTTGGTAGCTGTTTGTTTAGTTTTAGTAACCTGCTTTTGTGCTTTTCCTTCTTCTTGAAGCACAGTAGATGTGTTAGGATGCTTTGCTAATTTTTTTAATGAAGGCTCTTTTGTAGGTCAAATATTGTTTTTAAGTCACTTAGTCCCCCTTTGGGCTTTTGGTTTCTTTTCTGTTAAATGACAAAATTGAGCTAAATGATCTGTCATATATTTTTTCTTTTTAATATATTTTTATTGATTTCAGAGAGGAAGGGAGAGGGAGATAGAGATAGAAACATCAATGATTAGAGAGAATAATTGATTGGCTGACTGTGTCCTGCATGCCCCCCACTGGAGATTGAGCCTGCAACCTCTGGGCTTGTGCCTTTGACTGGAATTGAACTTGGGACCCTTCAGTCTGCAGGCCAATGCTCTATCTACTGAGCCAAATCAACTAGGGCTGTCATATATCTTTTACGGTGCAAATTCTATGATTCTAAGAACTTATGGCGACTTTTGAACAATTAATAAAAATCCAGTGGAAAGTAGAACAATTTTATTATATCAAAGGAATATATTAAAATTAGTATTTCCCCAAATAGTTTACTTTTGTTGACAGTTTTTATGTCTTCTCCATATATAAACAGAAGTAAACATAGGTATGGTTAGTTTCTTTCAGTGGTAAAAACCTTGTTTCTAAGTATTCCTGTGGTTTGTAGTATCACCATTTTAATTTTCTTTATGCATTAATGAGAAGGGAGATAAGTTCATGTACATGAAATTTGTTTGCACATGGAGAGAGACCACTGAAAGCCAGGTGAAAAATTGAGTATAGAACAGAAACATACCTGTCCTCTGCAGAGTTAGAGAATTCTGTAGTTGTAAAGGGAGTTTTTACATGCTTCACCCGAACACATCTTTGTGAGGCCCAAGTTTGGAGGCTGCCCGTGTGTATATTAAGATCGCCAAAAAGCCATTTTTCCTCATCTCACATGTTTTGATTGTGTAATTATATAAGCTTACCTATTAAATGACAATTAGTTATAATTTGGCTAAATTAATGTTGCTTTGTAAAAAGTTTGTCATTACCATGTTTGCTTCTTGTCTTTTTTTTGTATAATGTGGAAATGACGATGATTTACAAAAATTACAAAAATTACACTTATTGGGTGCTTGATATATTTGGTTTAAATTTATTACTGTTTTCATATCTTTAATAACTTTTCAAAGGAAATGATGTTTTAGTGATGGTATTTTATCAGGAACAATTCTAGGTGCCCAGCAAAGTTAATTCATTGCATACAGTGATTTGCTAAGAACATTAGGGATTAATTCTCCGGGTTGAAAAAGGGTGTCTGGATAGCGGAGAGGACAGCGATGACAGGGAGGATTTTTAGAGCGTTTGAACTGTGAACGTTCTGCATGTATTATCATTAGTACTAAGTTACTTATACTAAATTAAATCATTAGTAATAAATCAAAGTGGTATATTAGCTTTAAAACTTTTCATTTGGAATCCTGATATACAGTATATACTTAGAAAGAGGAAAGTATTGCCTCTACTAAGTATGATTTCAAATAACAGCAATAAATATTCTGGATTGCAGAAGCAAATTGGACTGCAGTGATATTTATATAAAACTGAAATGAGAACTAAATCTGGCATGCAATAGCAAAATTGGGGGATATAGCTATTTAACTAGAGAATGTCCTTAGTTTGGTAAAAGGGTTAGAAATGCAATCTTCTTTGGAGACTGATTAAAAATAATAGATAAAATAAAGAATGATGTGCTCAATAGGCTGCAACTCAAATAGAGGAAATTTAATGGGAAATGATTACATTAGTAGCAGATGGACTTGCTTCCTGAACTGTAATCTTACTGGAAATCCTAGAACCACTTAACTGTGTTTTTCAGATTTAGAGTGTGATAGAAAGGTAGATGGAGAGATTTATTTGGTGTGTTATTGTGATTCTTACCGTGTCTTTTGGATATTTCATTTTTTACTAGGCTATTTTTATGATTCCCACAAATCCACCGCCAACATTCAGGAAGCCAGAACTCTGGTCTGATGATTTCACCGATTTTGTTAAAAAGTGCCTAGTGAAGAACCCTGAGCAGAGAGCTACTGCAACACAGCTTTTACAGGTCAGTGCTTATGCCACCAAGGGAGGAATGCTTTCTTTATATCTTTTATCTTTCCGATGTTAAGTAAGAATGCCTTGAGTTTCCTTAACTGATTTCTAAAGACATAAACCTCCCAGGAAATGTGGATTGATACACATCCATCCTTCCACCTCCTTCCACCATCTCCATTCTTCTCTATGTTCTCCGTGTCTCATTTTCTTCTTTTCTTTTTCAAGTTAGTGTTCTCTTTTCCCTTTTTTTTTTCTTCCTTTTTGTTGTTGTTAATATTGTTAATGATTTTCCCCTAAAGTTGCTTTAAAACAAAACTTCCCAGATTCTCCTTTCAGAACCATATCTCCTCCATCATTAGTTTATTATATTTTTCCCTGATGTTTTCTTTGACCCAGCATTCTTCTTTGACCTGCTCTACTTTAAGCAGGAGTGGAATCGAAACTTAACTTTTTTGTTGAGTGCTGTTGAGTTTTTTTGTTATGTGCAAAGATCCCTGAACTCTTTGAAAAGATCACTTGTAAATATTGGTTACAAGATCACCTAAATGAAGAGTTTCAGTATCTCTGCTACAAATAGACTTTATTTAGAGTGTCAGGTCATAATTTTTTTTTTTTAATTTGCCTTAAAATTCAGTGCAAATAGAAATAATGTAACACTTTCAATAAGTATTTGTGAGTCTTTATTTTCCCCAACAGAATTGGCTCAGACCACTAAGCTATTAATAAATGTGTCTCACATTAATAAAACTTGGTATTTGGAAAATACCGTATTTTTCGGACCATAAGACGCACTTTTCCCCCCCCCAGAAGTGGGGGGAAAAAGTCCCTGAGTCTTATGGTCCAAATATAGCCTACACATATACTTTAAAAAAAAAGTTTTTTTACTTGCCCTGCTCTGTGTGGTCTCTGTGTGCTTGCCCGGCTCTAAAATGGTTCTAAATGTTGCTGTTTACTTTACAGGGTTGATTACATGTGTTTATGACTGTGATGTTGGGTTTTAATGCACATAAAATATTTTAGGACACTATTTGTTTCAGAATCTTTTTTTCTTCATTTCCCTTCTCTAAAAACTGGTGCGTCTTATGGTCCGGTGCGTCTTATGGTCCGAAAAATACGGTAATTGTATTTATTGAATCACAAAAGGATTCAAAGTATGGTTCTTATAAAAACCATACTTTGAATCCTTTTGTGATTCAATAAATACAATTATTTATTATATTTCTAATATTTCTAAAGTACGGTTTAAACAAAAGTATTTGTTGGAAGAGTATAAGAAACAGGCTACGTAAGTACAGTATGTTTATTGCTATGAAAATTAAACTTAGCATTCATTCTTCATTTAAGGCAATTTAGCATTATCTACCTAAAGTAAAATGTTAAATATTCTTTGACCCAGTAATTACACTTATAGAAATTTACTTTATAGAAAAATTTAACCATGTGTGAAATAACATGTGTAAAAATATTCGTAGAACATTATAATGGCAAAAGATTGGAAACAAAAAAACTTTCAACAAATTGGAAACAATTTAAGCTCCATTGAGATGAGTGATTGGCAAAATACACACAGGCATGTTTACATGTATGTATATGTGCATATGCCAGTGGTTATGGTGGAGTGGTCAAGAAACTGGCCTCCAGAGAAGGTAACTGTGGCTGAGAAGCAGGAGTGGAATAGAAACTTAACTTTTTTGTTGAGTGCTGTTTTTGAACCTTTTGAGTTTTTTGTTATGTGCAAATAGTACCTTTCAAAAATTAATTAACTGAAACATTTATTTTGAAATATTGTCATATATCCAAGGATTTTTTTTTGTGCCCATAAATCAAAGACCTATTAGTATTATTATCATGTTGAGTATCTAAATTATTAAATTCCGAGGAAAACAAGAAAGGAGAAAAACACACACAGGAAAGTGAGTCAGATAGCATAAAGTATGATGGCGGAGGTAAATTTAAATGTATCTGATAGCTGATTTTTGGATAGTTTAACCAGTATTTCTTTCTAGTCTTTCTCCCATAACCTTTTCTGATATTTCTAAGAAAATAAATTCTGTTGTTTTTAACTTAGAGTTTTTAACTTAGTGTATAATCCTTCTTAAGAGTACTTTCATCAGGTTCACTTTTCTCCTTTGTAACGTCTATTTTTTTAATCCAAGTTCTTAATAATTCACCCTTTTATTATTACAGTTCCCCCTCCCCCTCTCTTCCTCTTTCTTCCCTTCTCCTTCTCCTTCTCCCTCTTCCTCTCCCTCTCGACACTACAACCAACTGAGCCACACCAGCCAGGGCTCTCCTCACTCTATTTTGTTTCTATATTTTACTGCAGGATTATGCTATCAAAGACATTCTTTTCCTTATATTATTCTCTTGTTTCTATAATTAAAATGGCTCTCACAACATAATTTAATCATCTCATCCCAAGCATGTATGCTTCCTGCCCCACTGTTGCTTGTATCTAAATTCACATAACACCATTTCTCTAAATAATGTTTCTGTCTTGACAAGGCAGATCTTCCTACTGTGTTCTAACATACATTCCCTATCTGTGTGTGTTTGTGCATGTTATTCATATTCTCCTCCTCCTCCTCCCTAAAAGGATCTGTTTCTTTTGAGGCATCTGAGATTGCCTACCTACTCATCTCTTAATTGTATAAGCTGTGTTAAACCATCATAAAGGTAACTTGTATGTCATATTTTAATATTTTTGTATGTGTTTGTGTTTTATTCCTTATTCTAGATAAGTTTCTTAAGGGCCAAGAACATATCTTCAGGTGTGTGTGTGTGTGTGTGTGTGTGTGTGTGTGTGTGTCCTTCCATCAGTGTTTCGCAAATATTTTCAGTGTAGGGCTGGAGTTCCTTCCTTGTTGCCCCACCATTCTCTAGGGCACAGTGTTTGTCTGCTCTCCAGCTTGGCAGAAAGAGGAGAAGTCACGGAAGAGTGCACACAGTGTTTTAAGGCCCAGGTCAGGAAGTGGTGCACAACACAAAGACTTCCATTCCGTTTTGTTCCATTTGTTCCATTCCATTGACAGAACTCAGTATCCTAGCCACAGCTAGCTGAGTGAGGAACTAAGAAAGGTAGGATCTAGCTGGGCCACCAGACACCTAGCCACAACTCTATTTTGGTGGAACCAAGAGTCTACCACAGCTATGTTAATGGAACTTAAGTTACCTGGTGATAAATCTATAACTGTTATAAAATAATTTATTGGTTCTTTGCTATTGACTCTATTATTTCTGTAATCTGGTCAATTCTTACTCATACTTTCCTCAAATGATATATGTTCACCATTTTAAAGCCTCTTCCAAATATCTGTAATTTCTTGTTTAGCACTAAAATTGTTTCGTCTTTAGCACTAAAATTGTTTGTGTTCTTTATTAAAATAACTCAGCTCTTACCTGGGTCTATTTACTGACAGAATGAAAATTATGTTTTGAAGCTGTATTGCCTCCAAATAAGGTCATCTTTCCCAATGATACTTTTAATCTTATCATGTACTTCTCTCACAGTCTTCCTTCTCAATAAAAAATCATCAAAAATCCAGGTCTGTTTTGGTGGTTTGTGTTCTGTTTACCAGATTTGTAACAGTCTCAGATACTTTTGTTAAATTAGGATATAATTTTAAAAAAGTGAAAAGTTGTTTTTTATATATTATAGATATGAGGCAATATTCATTTTCTGAAAAAAATTTATTGCCATTTTTTTTCTCCATTGGAAATGATTACATTTTCAAGACCTAATAAAATAGGTTATATGTAAAAGAAGTAAGAAAATAGTTATCTTCTTTTGACTACTGATTCTGGCTATCAGCTTGTTAAGGTTAATTAAAATCTGTAACTAATACATAATTTTATTTTTATATGTAATGTAATCACCAATCCTTTTAAAAAATTTATCTTTTTTTCAACCTACTCTAAACTGCCTTTGGATAATTATATCTATAAGGTAGCTTTCATTAATGTAGTTTTTTATTAACAGAATTGTATATTTGTGTTTGCGCTTTAATGGTTTTTTTAAAACAAGTAAACTGAAAAGTAAAATCTTTATTTCTAAAGCAGCTCACATGTTATCTATTTTTAAAATTTTTTTTTGTTAATCCTGACCCAAGAATATTTTTTCCATTCATTTTGAGAGAGAGAGTTGGAAGGAAGAGAGTGGAAGGGGTGTGGTGAGAAGAGAGAGATGTGAGAGAGACACATCGATCAGTTGCCTCCCACATGCACCCCAACCGGGGTGTGGGATCAAACCTGCAACCCAGGAAAAGCCCTTGACTGGAAATTGAAAGGGCAGCCCTTCGACATGCAGGCTGGTGCTATAACCATTGTACTACACTGGTCAGGGCAATATTCTCTACTCTTTTTTAAATATATGTATTTTTATTGATTTTGGAGAGGAAGGGAAAGGGAAGAGAGGTAGAAATATCAGTGACAAGAGAGGATCATTGATTGGTTGCCTCCTGCATGCCCCTATTCCCCTGCCTCCTAGGCAATCAGGCCTGCAACCCAGGCATGCACCCTTGACTGGAATCGAACCTGGGACCCTTCCCACTGAGCAAAACCAGCTAGGGCAACATTCTGTATTCTTGACCTATACATTTAATTCTATATGAAAGAACAATCATTGAAGATCCTGGTTTGTGTTTATTTACGTGTTTTAACATTTTTTAGATATAATTCAGATAAATCTTTTAAAATTATATCTTTGAATCTTCTCTAGCATCCATTTATCAAGAATGCAAAGCCTGTATCGATTTTAAGAGACCTGATTGCAGAAGCTATGGAGATCAAAGCTAAAAGACATGAAGAACAGCAGCGAGAATTGGAAGAGGAGGAAGAAAATTCGGTTCGTAATTACCCTAAAAAAATTGATTTCTTTTCTTCTCAGACATTTTCTATAATTTTTTTTAATATCAATAGCAATTACTATTTCATTATACAGATGAGGTACTCTTCATTAAATCTCAAACTATATTTAGTTTGCGTTAAATATTTATCATCTTTTTCTTATATCCTAAGAATTAGTGATTAGTGGCATGTAAGGTGTGCACAGTAGCTAGGAGTGCCGCACTAGAAGATGGGTCACTAGAGAAAGCAGGAGGAACATTTAAGGATCTAGTTTCTTCCGTTAACACTGCATTTTAAAAACAAAACTGGAGAGGAAGCACAATTATAATTAGGATTTTTACTTTTGTTTTAATATTCCTTTTTAATACTTTATGCTCACTTTTCAGTCAGGTATTTATTAGTACTTTTCAAAGTAAACAACGTTGTCCTAGCAGTTGCACAATTTCTGATAAGGTTATGTCCTCAGTAAAGTCTAGTCATCATCCTGCTGTGGTTGTACTCAACTGTCTTTTCTTACCTCTTCGAGCTTCATATGAGTGCCGGGCTGGTGAACAGCTTTTAACTAGCTGTCAGTGGGCAGGTGATTATTTTTTGCTATGCTGTTATCTTTTAATACTTAATTATAGGTTGGTTTCTATTTTTGATGAGTAAGGAATCATTGGCTATGCTAGAATTCATCAGTTTTTACTAGTTTTTAAGACCTTGCTGTAGCCTTGCTACTTTGGTGATATATTTTTTCACTATTTTCTTCTCCATCACTGAGCTCCAGCTATGTTAATCTTATTTCAGATTTCTTTCTTCCTTTTTTGTTTTTAAACATGCCAAGGACCTTTCCTTACTTAGGGCCTTTACATGTCCTGTGCTTGAAACACTTCTTCCCAAGAACTCATTGAGTGACAAGAACTCATTCTTCCCATATTTTAGGCCCCAGCTTTAATATCATATATTCCAAATTTAGCAGCTTAATATAACACACATTTATTATTTCATTGTATTTGTGAGTTATTTCAGGTGTGGCTTAGTTGTATTTTTTTGGCTCGGTTTCTCATGAGATTGTAGTCTAAATGGTGTTGGAGTTGCAGACATCTTAAGGCTTGACAAGGACTGGAGTTCCAAGTTAGCTCACGCATATGGCTGCTGGCGGGCTGCCTCAGTTCCTTGCCATGTGGGAATCTCCATAGGCTGCTTGAGAGTCTTTAGCATGGCAACTGGCTTCTCTAAGAGTGAGTGAGTGATCAAGAGAGAGAACAAGGACGAAATCTCAGTGCCTTTTATGACATAGACTCAGGAGTTGCACACTGACACTTCTACCACATTCTGCTTGTTAAAATAAATTATTAGTCATGGAAAACAGTGGTGTAGAGAACACTAAGAATTGGTGCCTTAGTAGAAGGAACCATTAACTTGGCAGAAACTGACAAATGATTTTTTTTTTTAAAACACTGCACTCTAATAAAAAAAACAAAGCTTGCAGTAACTTAATGAAGAAAAAGGCTGCTAAATTTTGGTAAGAAAGTGCAATGGCATTTTTGCTTATGTGCCTGCCATCCCCTGTTTACTAGCTCAGCAGCAGCGATGGGAACAGTGGTGGAGGTTAGTGGCAGGGAGAAGAGTAAGAACTTTGTTCTAAAAATAAAATAATACTTTGTGCACTTTGGATGATCTAGAAGCTCTCTCAGATCTACAAAAGCTTGCCCTTGTTATTGTCCCTTTGAGTTGGAGCAGCTTCCTGGAAGGAGTCTATCAAAACATCTAAATCTTCGAGCACTGATAAACAAGTTTGACAGAGTTGCAGGATACAAGATCAACACACACACTTATGTTTTTATATACCAGTAGTGAGCAATGCATAAAGGAAATTAAGAAAACAATTTTAGCCGGGACCGGTTTGGCTCAATGGATAGAGTGTCGGCTTGGGGACTGAAGGGTCCCGGGTTTGAATCCGGTAAAGGGCATTACCTTGGTTGCGGGCATATCCCCAGTAGGGGGTGTGCAAGAGGCAGCTGATCAAAGACTCTCTCTCATCGATGTTTCTAACTCTCTGTCTCTCTCCCTTCCTCTCTGTACAAAATCAATAAAATATATTTTAAACATGAAAAAAAAGAAAACAATTTTATTTACAATAGCATCCAAAAGAATGAAATATCTAAGAGTAAATTTAGCTAAGGATATGAAAGACTTGTACAGTGAAAAGTACAAAACATTGCTGAAAGAAATTAAAGAATACCTAAATCAGTGAAGGATATCCCATGTTCATGGATTGGAAGACTTAATATTGTTAAAATGGCAGTATTCCCAGAGCAACTCATAGAATCATTCAATGCCTATCAAATTCCAGTAGTCTTTTTTTTTCAAAATGGAAAGTCAATCTTCTAATTCATATGAAACAAGGGGCCCCAATTAGCTGAAACAAAAACAAATATGCAGGACTCACAGAGATTTTCAAAATCGGCAAGTCCTGATTCATTTTTTTGTTGTTGAATTTTTCTGTCTTACGTTTTTCCTCTCTCTTCTACATTCCATGGTGAAAACGTAGCACAGCTTTTTTTTAGCCGTACATCTACTGATGGGCACTTGGGCTATTTCAAAGTGCATCCAACTGCCATATTCCAAAGTCATCCCATTGTTTTAGGTCTGTGTTACTTGGACCTGTGCATATTTAACGTGAGGGGAGTTAGGTTTCTTCTTTTGAGGGGAGGACTTCAAAATACTGTGGGCAAATTTAAAAGTTTTATTAGGTTTTTATAATTTTTATTTTATTTTAAATAAGCATTTATCCTCAGAAACCAAGCTAGTGTTTCTTGGTAGAACTATTATGTTGTTTTCAATTGAAATAGTAAGAAAAAATAAAAGTCTTTTTAGAGTCACTCTTTAGCAATATTTATATGCTTCACTTTAGATTATTTTCTCAAGCAGTAACTTCCATCTTGAGATCATTTTGTCAGTTGTTGCCTTGAATATGAAACACACACACACACACACACACACCACACAATGGTGATCAGACTTGAACTAATTTTTATTCAAAATTCCTTTTTACGTTTTTAAAACAAATTTCAAATGGCCAAATGTATTTAGAAAAATAGGTAGAGATTTTTATAAAACTACTTTAAGCTTACTAAAAGTGTATTTGAAGAAAGAAAATTTCTTTTATTCTCATTCCTTTACTTCTTGAAATTAGATTAGTAAGGAATATTTATATTTGAGATAGAAGTATTGATTGCAAATTGAAATTCTTTAAAAAGAGATTACTTGCTTTCTCTAATTTCCCCCTTATCATTAAATCATAATTCTAAAAAACGAAAATAAATCTCTACTCAGTATTTACATAGTCACAACCATGTAAACACACAACATATTGTGATTGTATATTCTTTTTGTGATTTCTAGAGCTAATAATTTTCTCAGCTTTTTTATTGTTATTTGTAAATTTTTCTATGTACCTATTACTAATTTGTTCTCAAAGGCTACTTTCCCACATTCTCTGCAGGAGCTGTAAACTCCTCTTTCAAACACGAAACATTTGTTAATGTTGTACTTCTTCCTTGACTTGTTCTTTAGTCTCTATCCTCCTCTAATCTGAACTGATTGCTTTCTAGTCTTGTACAGCTGTCATCCCAATACTTCCTTTCAGCATTATCCTAGATATTCCTTTTTCTCTCTTGTGTAATGGATCCCCTGTTTCCTGGACCATTTCTTTCTCATTTTACTTCCTTATTTTGATGAACTATTTCTCCCAGGGGCTTCCCAACATGAGCAGTTTTTTTTGTGTGTTTTTTCAGGCCTTATATTTCTGACTGTGTCTCAGTTCTACCTTTACTGTTGATTGACTATAAAATTCTGATTGCCAGAGTAGAGGAAGGTTGGAGGACTGGGTAAAAAATATGAAGAGGTTAAGAAATAATAATTGGTAGTTACAAAATAGTCATGGGCTGTATAGTACAGCGAAGGGAATATAGTTAGCAATATTGTGATGACTATGTATGGTTCCAGTTGGGTATTGGAAATATTAGAGGGAACACTTTGTAAAGTATATGATTGTCTAAACATAATGCTGTACACCTTATACCAATATATAATAATATTGAAAGTAGACTAATTGAAAAATAAAATAATAAGAAGAAAAAAATTCTGGGTATAAAGTCCTGCATTAATATTCCCTTAACGTTTTGAAGGCCTTGGTCTATTTTCTAACTTTAGCAGTATTGGTGATGATAAGACAGATGATATTCTGATGCCTAATCCTTTTAATATTATGTGGTAGTTTTTTAGATCTTGACTTTCTCCCTGTTATTTAAATTTTTCATGATGATGTGCCTTGGCAGAGATCTTTTTCAATTCATTGTGTGGAGTGTCTTTTGCCAATTTCAATTTGGAAATACCCTTTAGTTCTGTGCAATTTTATTTTTGCTATTGATCAGTAATTTTTCTCTCTCTCTGGAACTCCTTTTATTTGATTGTTGGGCCTCTTAGATTTATCTTTCAATGATCTTTCTTTCTTTCTTTTTTTTTCTTTTCTTGGAGGTCTTATCAAGGTTATCTTCTACCCTTTTTATTTTTTTTCATATAAAGTATTTTTAAAATTTCCTGCTCTTCCTCATTGTTATCATTACCACTTCCTCCTCCCTTTGTATTTGTTTTGATTTCTGACTACTCACTTGATGAGTTTTCTTTAAATATCTCGTGATTCTAGCTGAGAGAAACACTAAAGTTGCCTACTGGAAACTGTTAAAAGAAAAGAGCTATTTGACTTGACAGCATTACTGTACATGATATTAGGATTCACTGTTTTGGAGCTTGAATTTATTTCTTCTCTTGACTTCTCTCCTAAGCTATGTTTTGGGGTTTTTGTTTTTGGTCTTCTGAATTAGCTACTATTTACATATTTATCTGTTTTCTAGCTTCCAAATTTTTCAGCATTTCTGTTTGCTGTTGTCTTCTACCCCATGCTCTTTGTCTTTATGAGTTTATCCATTTTCTCTGACTTTGTTGTAATTT